GTATATGATTACAAGCAATCAAGATACTCTGCTTAAAATAGACATAAGTGATTCTCGTATAGTCTGTTTTGATGTTTCTGCATATTATAAAGGTAATATAGCATATTTTGACCAGTTAGGAGAAATACTAAACTATCCTGATGCATCAGGAGTAGTAATGTCATATCTTCTTAGCCGTAACTTAACAAATTAGAGTCCAAAAAAAATTTCTGCAACTAAAATGAAGATAGGAATAATGCGAGAGCAACTTCTTAATTCTATTCGATTTATAATTAATTATATTTCAACTTGGCTTGAGAATCATATTAGTAGGTTTAGCTGTGAAAAAGTATATCAGAATTATCTAGAATGGTGTGGATATAATGGAAAAAAGTTATTAACTAGTAAGGTTGCTGAAAAGAAATTTTCACTAATTAGTATTGATAGAACACGTTTACAAAATAATGGAGTAAGAGTATATCAGTATATTTCTGACTGCTTCAAGATCATAGCCAAGCTCTGTGAATCTAGTTTAGACAATATCGAAGAATTTTTTAACATATCTCAAGATGAGTTACCAGTTAATAAACCTGTAAACATACTCATATTCAATATGCCAGTCCTGTATCACCCAAAAAGAATACGTCTCAACAAGAAAAGGATGTAGCAGAACAATTGGAAGTTCCAATTATCTCAACATCTGAGACATCTCAGACTTCTAATCCATCTGAACCAGTAATTGACAAGCTTTCTGAATCTATCGAGCCTATCAGTAAAGTAGTGGATATGCCTCTAAAGAAATAAGTAACAAGTGCAATTCTTCTAAGCCTATCAATAAAGTATTATCTACTATACTTCTGTCGAGAATCTAGCAAGAAGAACATTTCAGAAAATGGGCAATTGATCATAGTGAAGACCTTAATAAGTTTATAATGATTATAGAAAAAGACGTTAGCTTATCTCAGGAGTATCAAAACATGATAATAATGGACGCAGAAGTCATCAAATTTGCTAGAGAAAATAATATGAACCCAAATAATTTATTTTATATAACTAGAAGGGAAAGGTTAATAAGCGAAGAAATATATCTCTGAGAGTTCAAGGATGTAGGAAAACTCTGAGAGTGTATTTATGATAATGAGAAATAGCAAAAAAATATAAGCATACTCCAGGAGAATAGTATGCTTTGGTAAAGAACGAATAAGAATGGGTTAATTAATATTAGTAGAAATAGGACTTTTGTTCTTTACAACTAAGCAATATAACATTCCAAATTATTATTATGTATTTTTTTCATATCCTATCTATTCAAAATTTCAAATTGATGTAAAACCCCCTGGCCAAAGCAAGAGTTATATATTTTTTCCCTTTTCTAACCACTGATAGTTTTTATCCCATCGACTATGGGATAGAGAAATTATAAAATATTTTTTTGAATTGAACTTTATCCTATGTAATATAATCTAAATATTACAGATTAATTTAACTACTACATACATTTTACATACTACAAAATGTCTGCTATTATAACCAATTTTGTTACAGACCACAAACTCACTAATGAAATGCGTCTTGAAGAGCTTAGTCAGTATGCGCTAGAAATGTGTAGCCTTTTGATAGATGATAGAGAGAAAAGGTGTCAGACACGTAATTGTCTTCAAAAGGGATATAAATTTAGCAAAGAATAGGTATTTATATTAATTTCTAATCAGAGAATTAGATGATATATAAGTCAAGTATTAGTAGTAGTCCCAGAAGCTGAAGTGAATATTAGTCTAATTTCTAATAATGCCCTAGAAGAAGAGACTATTAAAGAAATAGCTCACCGTATTGTTTGGAATAATCTTAGTGAAAGAGATGTAAAAGCGATATCTAGAACCTTAAAAAAAAATCTTTTGATGTTATCGTTACCCTATCATGTCTTTCTAGGCTTTGAAGAGAATTGCGAACTCTCAATGCTTTAGAAAAAATAATCTCTGCTACAAAGAATCCAGAGACAACCAAATTATCTAATAAAATTCAAAAGAAATGTAGCGAATAACGTAAAAATGAAGGGCTCTATTATCCAGATCACTTCTCATTAAAATCAGTTAAGGAAAGATTGGATGAGTATGATGTATCTAATATACCTGACAAACAGGCCCTAGCTAATATAATGATCATACTCTGTATCTGTTCTGCTGAAATTAAAAATCTGCATATATTTAATGGTAGCATAACTGGATACGCAAAAAATTGAGGTAAGCAGAATATTTCTCGAGTATTTAGATCACTAGAAAAGGATAAAGAACGGGCTAAGCATTACTTATATGGATTCAAAATGTGATTTCTTCTGAAGAGTTAAGAGACTCTGGGAAGTCTAGATCTACATACTTAAGTGCATTTCTAAAAAAAGATAAATTTATTCTTAAGCCTTATGACTCGCTACTTTCTAGTTCTTTACGCAAATTAGGATCAATATTTACTAACATAACGCATATGTCTAAGAATCCATCAAAATTTAACACTTATGCTAGGAAAGCCCTTTGACATTTGCCTGACAGCCATGTTTCTCCATCTGATAGATATACTATAGTTAATTACAGAAAGCAGTGTCAACTTTATAATCAAGCAAGTTCTTTCAACATTTTTGATGAAAATTAATCACATATATAGGTTAGAAGGGATTCTAGAGGGATCGGGTTGGAAGGATTAGCTTTGCTAACCTGATATCATTTATTAATTTTATTTTTTCGCCTTCCTTGATCTGTTGATCTGCAGAAGATAGTCTATTCTTTTAATCAGAGCAACTTACCCTAATATTTTATCTGATATAGTTTCTTTTTTTTGAATAAATATGAGAAAAAAAAATAGATATATCATATATAAAATATCGCAAAATGGTAACTGATCAAAAGCATTCATCTGATAGTATAGCTAGCAAGCAGAAAGTTGTCAAATATACAAAAATATTAACCCAAGCATTTGGATTAAATGAGCAAAATGCAGAAGTATATAGTACGCTTTCTAGTGAAAATAGGGAGCTAAAAAAATAATTAGAAGATTATCATTCTCAATATAACACTTTAGAAAAGAGATAAAAAGATTGGAAAGAGATGTGGAATCCTTAAAAGTCGAATTAGAAGATCTAGACGAATGTGTAAATAGAAAGACTGTGATCAACTTAATATAAGAAATAGTTCTCTTGCTGATTGGTAAAAAGGTAAGGATTTCTCCTATTCGTCTGAGTCTTCTAAAGAATCTGATTCAGTTAAGACGGTAAGAGAGCAAAAAGCTGTTCTTCATAAGCAACAAAGAATGGAACAGCTGAGAAGAAGGTTTACAGAATAGTAATCATCAGCTCAGAAGAATTTGCTGAGCCACAGATTGTGCGAGAATAATCTTATTTTTTTCAATCGAAAAATTCTTTGAATCATATAGCATGTATATAGCTAATTTACTTGATCAACTCATGTCAGAATTAATACCATTTATTCTAAAATATCTTTCAGACCAGGATCTAAAACATGCTAGCAGTATAAATGATATATGGAAAAGAGAAGTAAATCTTGAACAGTTCAGAATAGTTCTCACAGATTTTTGATTTAGAATTAATATAGGTATTAATGTAAATTTGATTAGTGAAAAATTGTAAAAATAACATACACAAAAGATAATGGTATTCCTAAAGTAAACGAAATTCTAGGTGAGTCTTATTTCACATTAGGAAGGATCAATCTACATGTTATTTTAAATGATGGCAAGAAGTATAAAAGTATATCCACTGAATTCATAGTTACTAGATCAGATTGGCCTGATCAATTTCTTAAAATACTTTTAGGCTTATCATGGATGCGAGAAAATAGTATAAGCTTAAATATGCATAATTTAATACTAACAATAGGTACACTTAAGTGTATGATTTCATATCAATTCAGCTGATAGTCAAATCTGAGCTATGTTTCAGTCCAACTAATAATCTGGAGCAGTTATTACTCTGCACTATAGCTAACCTTATTTTTTGGATTGAAAGATATTCTAACCATATAAAAATGCATATAGTTAATTTGCTAGAACAACTTTCATCAAAATTAATACCATTTATTCTAAAGGATCTTTCAAACCAGGATCTAAAAAATTTTAACGCGTTCTGATCTTATTAGAGTATTTAATAATCAAATTTTAGTTCAGGGCTAGGATCAAAAAATAATATGTATTACAGGCTATATCCCGAATCTTGTATTTATTTGCATGTATTAATAAAAAATTTTTTTAGCAAAAGTGATCAGCGTTACAAATTGTAACACACATGATTTCTTTATTTTGAATACTTATATGCAGTATATTAGTTATATATAGATTATGTCATCAGAGCTTAAATTATTGAAATAGCATATCACTGAACTTAAAGCTAAAAACAACAAGCTTGAGGCTAAGAATGCAGAGCTTAGGAAGGAGAATACTGAGATTTCCAGTCTTAAAATCAAGCTCTTAGTGTCTGATGCTAAAATAGCTGAACTTAAGCGTAAGAATGCTGAATTTCTAAAAGCGAATAAGGAATATAACAAGAGGCATGATACTGAAAATGTCAAACTCAGGGTTAGAATCGAGAAGATAGAATCTGAGTTAGAAGATAGAATCACAAAAGTAGAACAGAAGCAGACTCTGCAAAGCGCCTTAATGGCAAATGATAATTCTTCTAACAACAGTTTACCTAGTTTCAATTCAATTATAGTATCAGAGGCGATAACAGTATCTACCAACTCTGCGAAGCGCCTTAACAGCAAATCATTAGAAGAAAAAGATATGGATAGTTTCTTACTTGAGTCTTATAAGAAAATTGTTAGTAGTGAAATAAAGCAACACAATAAGGAGAAGAAATTTTTATGTGAATCAGCTAAATATCAAGTCTATTTGAAATTATCATGTGATAAAAAACCGTTACCAATGGTAACGATCAAGATTTAAAATTATCACTTAGCACAGGTGATAATATCTCTGCCCTATCATCCATTAAGAACAACTTATTATATGATACAAAAATGATCACTTGTACCGATAGTAAGGATGTTCTATCTGATAAAATGTCTAGACTAATTGTTATACAACTGCTTAATAGAAATCAAGTCAATGAGCAAACTTTGAAGCATGAACTTTCTAGACCTATTTCTTCAGTAGCATCAGTTAAACTACATGATGAGTTCATCTTAAATAACACAATTGAGGGCTCTACACAGAGATTAGCTTATTGGATTGATGAGGCTATAAGAATGGGTCTAAAAGAAATCTTATGCTTATATCATTATTCCCTTGAGTTTGAAGAAAAGTAAAAAATATTATGGCTGATGGTAAGACTAAAGATAAGACAACAAGGTTGATGATATACAAAGATATGTTGCAGTATTTACCTAATGTTACTCTGAGTAATTTGCGAATCTGAATACATAGAGCTAAAAATATTTTTATGCTGTTTGAAAAAAAAGGGATTGGGATAAATAGAATTAAATTAGTCACTTGTAGCGTGAGTGATATTTCTAGATTAACTAATACCCAAATTCAAAATATTATAGATTATGTAAATGATCAGGTTCATAAAACCATTACCATTGGTAATGATCAGAGTTATGTGTTCTCAAAAACTGATACTATTAGTAATGACTTATATCAATCACACCTCAAGCAAGTATATCACCTGTATCAATTCCTAGAATTAATCTAACTTATGACTGATCCTATTTTTGCAACAAGACACTAAACTAAAGATGGCGTTGCAACATTGTGACACTTATTTGTCACCTGTTGCAACTTAAATTTTAATAATGTTGAAATTTGTTGCAACATTGTGATGCTTATTTGTCACCTGTTGCAACTAATTAAGGCACCATCTTTACACTAAACCAATATCCTAACTTATATAAAGAATATAGTAGTGAAGACTTTGATTATTATGGCATTACTAATAAGACATTATGCCTATTATGCAAGTTAGGTCATGATGATAAAGAAAGCATAGAAGGTAGATATAAAACTGGATCCTATTTTATTAAGTGTGAACAGTGTAAAATTGAGATAACTGCTGTTGGCTTGGTATCTGTAAACTTAAATGATAAACTTTTAATTCAATACGTTGAATTAAATACAAGATAATATCACAATCACGCCTATATGAAGATACGACAAAAGGCAATAGTAAATGAATTTAACGATTCCTTTATTGAACTCTTAGTTTATCCTAAAACCTTAACTTGAGTTACTTTTCAACCCAAGGGAAAATACAAGATATTTATACAAAATAAATAATATAAAATCAATTATGACAAATATAACAAATATAACAGATATGATAAATATAATAAATATGATAAATATGTCCAATTGATCAATGTTGACAACTTTAACAACTCTGTCAACTTTGTCAACTTTGTCAACTATGTCGATCATTTTGATCACATGACTTATCCGTAATGCAGTCACGGATCACGGTTTCACTGCATAGTCTTATTATTTTACAATACTGTATATTTACATTTCTTTTGAGAAACTATTTTTTTACAGGGCTAATATACGTTGACTATACTTACTATAATTTAAATTGATTTGTAATTATATAAAAAGACAATATGGGTTTATTATTAGAAAAATCAGGTTCTGGGAATTTTTTAACAAAATTGAGATTTTTATTGCATTTTAGTTTTGATGTTATTAGATTAAAATGTATTAAGCTCTTAATTTAAGTGAAAAATTTCTCAGAACCTGATTTTCCTAGAA